TCCGAAAAATAAATTTCCCGATTTTGACGTACCTCTAAATGGCTCTTCAATATTGTTCTCCAGCTGTGGAAACAGTCGACAAATCGGTGCCCGATGGTTTGTCCTACAAGTTCATGCCCGGAACAATTCCTCTTGTTGACATGACAGTTGGTCAGCTGATAGAAAATGCAGCGAAACAGTGGCCAGATCGTGAAATTTTCGTGTCCGTCCACCAGGGAATCCGGATGACTTACAAACAGGCCTTGGCGAGAGCGGACAGGATAGCAGCTGGACTGCTAAAATTGGGACTGAAACCTGGGGACAGGGTTGGCTTGTGGGGTCCCAACGATCTAGAATGGGCTATAGTTTTCATGGGGCTAGTTCGAGCTGGATTCGTCGCCGTCGCCATCAATCCGGTTTATCGTCAAGGCGAAATCGACTATGTTGTTACCAAGGTTGGAGTCACTGCTATTGTGGCTCCTGCCAAGTTCAAGACTCAGGACTATTTCTCGATGTTGGAGAATACCAGAACGAAGTATCAATCTTTGAAGCACATTATTCTCTGGAATTCTGATAGTCGAACGTAAGTTCTCACTGTTTATCACTTGTCAATTATGATTCATTAATTATTCAATTGTCGTGAATTTTCAATTAGTCGCATTCATGAATATACTCACATACAAATATCCCGTGATTCCAATGCAGTGAGTGATCTGAAATTGATCTTCCATCGACTTTTCCGTTAAATATGGAAATGTCAGTGCAACAGTAATCCCAAACCATTTCGACGAACAGTGCGGTAAATTGCGTCGCAAAATTTTAAACAGTGTGATTGGTAGGGAAAAGAACTGATTGATCGCCCACCTCGCCCTGCATATTACCCTTGCCAGCAATTAGGTTAATGGTTCGCCTATTTATTCGCACGTAAACCTAGCAATTGGAGGTGCCAACTGCGCCCACCTGTGAAGAAAAGAAATCGATAGTTCAACATCGTTTGATTTTTATTTTCAGAGGGGCCTATCGTCTCACGGATGTCGAATCTCTGGGAAATAAGATTGAAATCGAGGCGATTGGTCAGATGCAGGGAGAAATATCACCTAATAACGCGTGTAATATTCAATTCACATCGGGAACAACTGGTGAGCCAAAGGCACCGGTTCTATCCCACAGATCTTTTGTCAATAATGCAATTCAGGTAAATCAGGAGACATCGACATACATAGGGTAATTTCATTTCATTCCGTTATTTCCTTTTTACTTAGTCCCAATATTAATTGATCGATCCATAAAATAATGATTCAATTTAATTCAATACGTTAAACTATTAGACATTGTGATAGCAGTGGGAGCCGAAGGCGAGACGCTACGTGTCCAGAATATCGCATTTTAATTTTGTTAAAGCCACACCGTCGAAATGACATCACCCTTCCGCACAGGGTGCTTGTCAATCTTGCATGTTGGAAATGACGATGT